TAACTCATGAGCTTTTATATAAAAATTTTACTTATCAGCTGTCAAGATTAGGCAACATGGGGGAACAGTGAGCTGGCTCTGCAGAGCAGCCACCCCAGTGCAGGCCCCATGCTCTGATTCTCCATGGTCCCCACTCTCCGCTATGTTACACTCTGGCCCTGTGTCTCCCCCCCCCCCCCCCCCCCCCCCCCCCCGTTTATGCTACTTGCTGGTGTTAGTGACCTTTACAGTACAGTCAGGATGCCACATAATTAGGACGGGACAGGAAATATTACAGGATTTCAGAAGGAACAAAGGTCACCTTGGAGAGCACAGGATAGTGGAAAGCATAGAGGCTTTAGAACTAGGCAAATATAAGCTTGAATTCTAGCCCTGCCCACTTCCTGCCTTAGAAATGTACTTTCCCTCCAGCTCCCTTGGCTTAAGAAAAATGGATACTATAACCTCCCTTAGAGGACTGTAGTGAGGATTAGAAATAATGTATTAATAGTATATTAATATGCCTGGCACATGAGCAGCACACACCACAGTTAATTCTGTCCAAAAAGTACTTGGTTTAAGTACCTGGAAATTGTTATAAAAAGAAGCTGAGAGAAAAAAAAAAACCCCAAGTGAATTAAAGAGTTAAATCTAAAAGATATAAACTCCCTCTTTTTTTTTTTTTTTTTTTTTCTAAACTAAAAGGAAACGCAGTTGTATATTTAACTTTCCTCATGATAGGAAAATACTTTCTAAGCACAAAATCTGTGGAGGAGAGCCAAAGAAAGATCATTAGAGTGGACACAAAGTTTTGGGGCTACTCTGTGTTAAATATGATAAAACAGAAGGCAAATAGCAAATGAGAAAGTATGACAGACAAAGTCAAAACATCTTACTATCTGTGCTTGCAGATCAATAAGAAAAATGTTGACATCTTGTGGAACAATGGACAAAAACATGAGCTGAGAGTTCACAGCCAAGTGCAAACAGCAAATAGGCATGTGAGAAATTGTTGAACTGGGTTATTAATTAAAGGGCTCTGAAGAATAAGTTGCCATTTCTCCCTACTTTTTTTCATCATGGACAGTTGATAGTGTTCAGTATTAGTGATATAGCCAGAAGACAGACACTATCATACTTCCTTGATAGAATAGTTCATTGCCACAACCTTCTTAAGAAGACAGTCTGGTGGTATAATTCAAACTGCTTCAAGTTCATGTCCTTTGATCCAGCAATTCCATTTTTAAGAATATATACTAGAAATAGATTCAGAAATGTTTTGCAGTAGTTTTTTCTTTCTCTTTTCTTTTTAGCAGTACTTGTATATGAAAAGCTCAGTCTCCAAACATGTGTACCTCACTGCTCTATCCTTACCATAAGCCCAGTGCCTAACATAAACAGGTGGTGAAATATATTTGTGAGATTAAAGAAGGAAAGGTATGTTCAGAAAAAGGAATATCATATGGCCATATTTTTGAAATACGTATATTTAAGACATAGGAAGATGCTCACAATATAGTGTTAACATGTAGAGTACACAGTTGTGGAACAATGTAGAATAATCTATAGACTTGTGTTGTATGAATTTTGGATGGTAGGATTAAAGGTGATTTATATATTACTTGGTGCTTTCCTCAGTCATTCAGCACTTACTTGTTGATGTATGTGATGATTGGCAGTGAGCATATTTTGAAAGGCAAGACAACACAGGCCTCCCCTCATGGATTTATCGGAGTAGGAAGGCTGACATTGAACAGGTAAATTAAAAGTGTGTCATTTACTTTGGTAAGCTTATGTTAATTTTATAGCAGGAAGAAACTCTAGGCCAACGGTGATTTTTTCAGGCATTGATGGTTGGTTGTAATTTCTATCGATAATACACTTTTTTAGAACAAGGAAGGGATAATTATGTGAAAAAATTGACACAGAGCTCATACAGTGTGAAATTACCATTCCAATGAAGAAATGATATGTAGATATCCTGTCTGTTGGGTGGTTAGTAATGACATAATAAATATATCCAGACATTTTTTCCTAAATAGCATTTTTCCAAAGGAAATTGAAAAAGCTCATATCTTGGTGAGGTGCACATGAGAGTTGTGGAACTTTGGGAAGCCCTACTGTTCTTTGGAAATTATGCTTCAATATTCAAATGAACTGGCTGTGGTTGGGAAGGAGGGAGAATGTTGATCTCCACTAATATAAAATATACTAGAGGCCCGATGCACGAAGACTCATGCAAGAATGGGCCTTCCTTCCCCTGGCTGCTGGCACTGCCTTTGCTTTGGCCCAGAGCCGCCTTTCTGCCTTCCCACACTGCCCAGAGGCCCAGAGCAGCTGGAGTGGTGCAGAACCTCTGTATCCTGCTCAGGCCGCTCAGTGCCTGTTTATGCAAATTAGCCCACAGTCTTTGTTGGGTTAATTTGCATACTCACTCCTGATTGGCTGGTGGGTTTAGTGAAGGTATGGTCAATTTACATCTTTCTTTTTTATTAGTGAGATATTTTTCCTTTTCCATCAAATTGTGAGGTTTCATGCGTGTAGAAAACCCAGACCAAGATCAATAAAGCCTACCCTGTAGACAGATTGTGGCTCTAAAAGCTTCTTTTAGCTAGGATCAGGATGGAAAATTTTATCCTAAGCCATGGTTTTTTAGGGCTGTGTTTTGTTTTTGTTTTGTTTTGTTTTGTTTTAAGAAAGACCTGGCAAAATTGAAAGGGTTACAGAGATGTGTTTTGGTAACGTAACCATGCTTAATTACATGTGAATGTGCCCCTCTCACTGGCTTGTACTTCCTCTACGGCTCTTATCCATTTATCAGCTCAGCCTTCGGCATAGCCACATGGGCTCCTCTGGCCTTTTATGTGCTTCCTAAGTGGAAAGTGCTTCTTGGTTAAGTTCATCGGTGACACAGCAGTCTGTTGCCACTGATTCGTAGGAGAGGGAAGCATTTGTGAGCTCCGTGTTGCCCTGGTAGAATCCTTTGCCCCCTTTTCTATCTCCTGCAAATTGGGAACGCATCTTCTAAGCCAGGGATATTGGAAGGAACAAATAACAAACCCCGCGGTATTGGTGTCACCTTTCATGGTAGGTGCTCAGTGTGTTGCTGTTTCCTATGGGGACTGATTAGAATAGCTCTCTCCCAAGTGCAGACTCACCCCCTTCCACTTTTGGTCCAACTAATAGTTATATTGGATGAAATTTATTCAAACCAACCTTGAGGCCTTCTCTCATTTGGAAAGTTCAGATCTTAGGGGCATTAAGGGAAATGTATTGTAGATCAATTGAACATCACTTTCCATTAGTGCTGGTATTTCCCTCTTACAGTTGGAATTCTCTTTCACTTGCGAGGCCTATTCCTGCTTCATGTTTCCAGGTAGAATTACAGTGCTCACCTCCTCCCTTCCACTGGCCTGGCACCCCCTCCTTTCTTTATTGTTTTAAATGTCCTACAAGATCTTCATCTCAGGACTGTCTTCATGTTGTGGTTGAGCGTCTTTCCTCTCTGCTTCATTTCCCTCTCTGTCCTCGTGTCTGTGCTTGGTAGATTAAGACCCGTGACCTCCCAGATTATGAAGAGGGCTGCAGGTCTGCCTCTCGCTGTGCAAGCCTTGGTCTGGTCACTGACTCTCCAGCCTAAGTCACAGAACCTCGGGCCTTCTAATCTCATGGACCACAAACTCTCTCCAGTAAAACATCATGTCCTGCATCTGGAACACTTATTTCAGAGAGCAACCTTTTGCTTTTCTGAGAAGGACAAGGTCACCTTCCTACTGTTCTCTGGTTGGCCGAGGGGGGTCAGAGGTAAATGTTTTGGTGCATAGAAAAGAGGTGGCAGACACCATTAAAATCAGTCACCGAAAGAAAGCTATTTCGAACATTGTTTCTTATATTCTGCCTGTAAAAATTATGAGTTTGCTTGCAGTCTTCGCCAGGATTGGGGCCTGGAACTTAGACTGTTTATTCTAATTCATTATTGTTTTGATTCTGATTTTCCTGAGGGAAGTCATTGTAAACTGTTATGTTCTCAGAAGCACCCCTGCAATAATAAGCATAAACACGGTATTGCAGCTAAATCAATCCTGCACTAACCCAGAGGTAGTCCCGTGCACCAGTGAAGCAGAGGAATGGGTGGATCTGCTCAGAAAAGAGATGAAGAAATCAGGAAGCGCGGGTCTGTCCCAGTCTCAACTCTGTGAGCAGGGGAGTTGTGTAATGCACCCCAGCAGCTGTGCGGGAGGAGCAACACCACCTGTCAGCTGCTTTGCAGGCTGGGCCGTGAAGCTTCATTACAGCACCGGCCGTGCCTGAGCTTTCTGGAAGATAGGGCCATGTGAAATACCAGGCCTCTGTGTCCCAAGTGTTCAGGAATTGTGGTCCACTTCCCAAGGCCTAAACAGCAAGGCTCAGTGTGCTATGCTTTCTGGTCAAGCCAGAGCTCCCTTCTCTGAGAAAATCTCACTGTTGACTGTTCTGGAAAGAAACAGGAATATGTCACCAAAACACCGCAGGACTAGTTTTAACATAGGTACTGATTAGTGAATTAGCATAAATTGTGGACGATGATCAGAACTCATCATACCGTGTCTTGTTTAGAAACCCATTCTCCCACGCTACAATGAACACAGCTCACAGCATAAAGCAGACATAGAGTTCTTGGATAGATGAATTTTAATTCCTTCATGGGCCAGAATGGGCTCTTCTGCGTTTTGGATGCTGATACTAATAACAATCGCTGGCACTTACGATGACTCGCTTTGTGCTGGTCTCCAGGTGATTGCCATACACTGCATCAATAGAGGCTCCCGACGGCCCTGTAACTGATGTGGTAGGTGCTGTTACTACCCCACAGTACAGAGAGGGGAAATGCCTGGCCTAAGGCCAAGCTGCTGTCAAGTGACAGCCGTTGACTGGCCCCTGCAGTCTGACTGGGGAGGCCCCGTTTCTTTGACCAGAATTGTGCTCTGTTGCATCTTGATCACACAAGCACAAACTTCAGCGCGATGAATGCTGTTTTCTAGGAAGAGAATGGAGACTACACATATGTGGAAAGAGTGAAGATACCCTTGGATCACGGGACCTTGCTAATCATGGAAGGAGCTACGCAAGCTGACTGGCAGGTGAGAACATCCAAGTAACCTGGATCGTGCATGTGGAGGCAGCGTCCTGCCTGGCTTATAATAATCTGTTTCTGTAAACATGGTGCAGAGCAAGTTGCTTTTATAATTGACCAGGAGTTTTGATGCTACTGATAGTCAAATCGGACCTCAGAGAACCTTCTGCAGGAAGGGGACTATCCCATGTCTGTGCAGCCCAGTGTTCCGGCCACTGGACACATGTGACTGTGGGTCTCCTGAAATATGGCTAGTATGCGGAAGAACTGAGCTTTAATGTAAATAAATTGAAGCAGCTTCAGATATCTAGTGACCGGCATGTGGAGCTCTGTAGGTCCACAGCTTAGGCCAGGCCATCTTAAGGGGAGGTCATTTAAAAACAAAACAAAATTGTCTTTCTTGATTTTAAGGAAAGTAAGGGAGAGGGAGGGAGGGAGAGAGAGAAACATTGATGAGAGATAAACATCCGTCTGCTGCCTCCTGCACGCATCTTACTGGGGATTGAGCCTGCAACTCAGGCATGTACCCTAACCCGAAAATGAACTGGAGACCTGGTGCATAGACAACGCTCAACCACTAAGCACACTAGCAGTCAGGTCATTTTCATGTTGTGCAAATGAATGTGAGAACACTTAGCATAAGAGCAGAATCCCACATCTTTCTTTGGTCTCAACCATTTATTTGTTATCTTATGAGATTCCGAAACATGGGAGGAGGCTGAGAGGAAGAACAAGTATTAGAAAAGACAAAACCATTGCACTGTGAGGGTGCTGGCATCTCGTAGTGGGGGTGGGGTTTGTTTCAGAGAAGGAGACCTTACTCCACAAGGCTCTAATCTAACGCTGCTCATTTAAGGGCGCATAAAATTGAAATGTGTGTATGTGCTCATAAATAAGCTTCAGATGGCTTTGAAACAAAAATGTGTGTGTGTTTATGTCAAAATTATTTCTATTTCCATTTAGCATCGGGTACCCAAAGAGTACCACTCTAGAGCACAGAGAATAAACCTGACCTTTCGGACAGTCCATCCAGACCCGAGAGGGGCGCAGCAGTGATGTGAAATCTTTGAGAGAAGCCGTGCCGACACTGAGCAACCCTTCCACTGTGAAGAAACTTCGAGAGGCTGGTCCAGCTGAGCTCCCCGGATGGCTGTTTGGAAGACAAGGGTAGACTGACTTCCCAGCTCAGGGCCCTGTTATCTACCAGCCAACAGCTCACATCCATAATATGTTTACGTGGGAACAGTAATCCCTAATCACATCTTGAAAGCACATATTTTGTTTAGGCAAATTAAAAACCCCTACAGCTACGCTCACAGATGATTCTGGCCATAAACAGTCTTTCTCCTGCCCTCCCTCGCTCCGTTTGAAGAAATCCGAATGGCCTTTGCGCTGGTGTAAATGCACACGTGTTTGCTCCCCGTGACTAAATTTAGTGGAGATAACAAATGTGCGTCAGGGACTCTGGAGCCGTTCGTAGGCAGACAGCTGCGGAAACCCAAACAGACGTGGTTCACAGAGCTTTGCTGAAGTCGGCCTTGACTCCTTAGCGGTGTGGCGCGTGTGCTATTGTAATGGAAAGCTGCAAGTTCTGGGAGCACTGTATTTAACTGCCAGTCCTCCCGGGACACCCCAGACAGGTTACGAGACAGGTTACGGCCGGGAATAAAGGTGAAGGCAGTGTTAGCCAGGCTGCCATCTTCAAGCCACCACCTGGACTACTTGTGTTTTTTTTGTTTTAATTTTCTTTATTGATTAAGTTATTACATATGTGTCCTTATCCTCCCCTTAACTCTCCACGCACACACAAGCACCCCTCACTCATGCCCTCACCCCCCTGGTGTCTGTGTCCATTGGTTAGGCCTATATGCATGCACACAAGTCCTTTGGTTGATCTCTCCCCATTACCGCCCCCTCCCCCCCACCTTCCTTCTAAGGTGTGATGGTCTGATTGATGTTTCTCTGTCTCTGGATCTGTTTTTGTTCATCAGTTTATGTTGTTCATTATAATCCACAAATTAGTGAGATCATGTGATATTTATCTTTCTTTGACTGGCTTATTTCATTTAGCATAATGCTCTCCAGTTCCATCCATGTTGTTGCAAATAGTAGGAGATCTTTCCTTTTTACCGCAGAGTAGTATTCCATTGTGTAGATTACCACAGTTTTTCAATCCACTCATCTGCAGATGGCACTTAGGCTGTTTCCAAATCTTAGCTATTGTAAATTATGCTGCTATGAACATAGGGGTACATACCGTATATCCTTTCTGGTTGGTGTTTCTAGTTTCTTGGGATATATTCCTAGAAGTGGGATCACTGGATCAATGGGAGTTCCATTTTTAGTTTTTTGAGGAAGCTCCATACTGTTCTCTACAGTGGTTGCACCAATTTGCATTCCCACCAGCAATGCATGAGGGTTCCTTTTTCTCCACATTCTCACCAGCACTTGTCATTTGTTGATTTGTTGATGATTGCCATTCTGAGAGGTGTGAGATAGTACTGCATGTTGTTTTGATTTGCATCTCAGATGATTAGTGACATGTTTTCATATGCCTCTTGGCCTTCCTTCTGTCTTCTTTTGAAAGGTATCTATTTAGATGCATTGTCCATTTTTTGATTGGGTTATCTTCCTTTTGTTAAGTTGTATGAGTTCTCTATAAATGTTGGAGATTAAACCCTTATCGGTGATAACATTGGCAAATATGTTCTCCCATGTAGTGGGCTTTCTTGTTGTTTTGTTGATGGTTTCTTTTGCTGTGCAAAAGCTTTTTATTTTGATGTAGTCCCATTTGTTTTTTTTCTCTTTATTATAGTTTCCATTGCCCTAGGAGCAGTATCAGTGAAGAAATTGCTTTGGCATATGTCTGAGATTTTTCTGCTTGTGGATTCTTCCAGTATTTTTATGGTTTCCTGTCTTAAGTCCTTTATCCATTTTGAGTTTATTTTTGTGCATGGTGAAAGTTGGTAGTCTAGCTTCTTTTTTTTTTTTTTTTTGCATGTATCTGTCCAATTTTCCCAACGCCATTTATTGAAGAGGCTGTCTTGACTCCATTGTATTTTCATGCCTCCTTTGTCAAATATTAATTGAGCATAGTGGTTTGGGGTGATTTCTGGGTTCTCTATTCCTGGACTACTTGTAATACAAGAGAAAACTGTCCCCTCAAAGGGAGGAATACTTGCTTGGTGTCATGAGAAATTTGGGCTCAAAAGCAGCAAATGTTCTGCTAGTGGCAGCTGTTCCACATAAATTAGTTTCCCCTGGAGAATGACTTGAGTCATTTAAACCCAAACCAGACAGAAGCTGGAGCAGCCCTGCAGAGAACAGATTTGGTTACCTAATGGTTCTCTCCATTGAGATTCCAGGGGCCTGTGACTAAGGCTGCCTTCTGACTCAGTGTTCCCTTAGACCCAAGTTCCCAAGATTCAAGGCTAGTCCATGATGTCACCAAAGTTCCCAAACACAAAAACGTGGCTGCCCCATTGCATCATAAAACCATGTGATCTTGACCTCTTGAGTTAGGCAGTGTGCCAGATTAATTCCAAAGCAAGATAAGAAAAAGAAAATGGATGGGAAAAGGGCAGGAGCATTAGAGTTTCCCTAGCTGCCCATGGGGAAAATTTACAGACGCTCCTTCCTTTTGGTCTTGTTTCCATCCCGGTGCTGTAAGGCTGATGGTCCCAAGATCGGGGGGTGGGGGTGGCGGGAGGGGGGGGGGGATGTCGGCAAAGTGCTAGAGGCTAGGCGGGCTCTTCATTGAGCTCCGGTGTAGCACCATGCCTGACCAGGCTCTGCTCTGATAGGCTGTCCTACAAGCTCTTGGCTTGCATTGGAGTCCCTCCACCTTTTCTGTTAATGCTGTTACCTGAGTATAGCTCCTTTCTCTGAGAAATTCTAAATGCTTCTTAAAATCTGACCGTCATACTAAGCCTTCCTGTGAGGGAGGTACAAATCACCATAAAAACAAAGCCTCTCTTTAATCCCCAGCTTTCCTCCTGTTAAAACAAACAGAAGCTGGATAGGGTGGTGTGGCCAGCTTCTGTTCTGAGTTTGACACCTGACACGGGGAAATTCCTCTTCCATTCCCAGACATGAAGGGACTGGCAGATGGTCCCGGGTCTTACAGCATCCCTCCTAATGTAGGGCCTGACCTTTCCTGCGTCAGCCTCGTCACTCATCGCAGCTCCGTCTGCCAGCGAGGCAAGTGCTGGCTTTCTTCAGCTGAGAGCCGCCTGAGGTCTTGTTTCCTGCTGCCCAGTGCCAGAACCGCCATTTTCCCGCCACGAAAATAGTGTCCCTCCTGAAATGTGCAGGAGGGACTCACCATGGAGTCATAGGATAGGGTTTAGGATGAGACAGGAATTCCAGACCCTAGTGGGGGCAGCCCTGCTCAGTGACTACACCGCCCACTGCTTGGCTTTGCTGGTGGTAGGTCTTCCCTGGGATTAGGAATGAAGCTGTTTACTGACATTCCTGGTGAAGCAGAGGAAGCAAATATGATGGCAATAGCATGTGGAAAACACAGGTTTCGTTTTTTAGCTGCCCTTTATTTGAGCTTTAATATCCTTCCATACACTGTCCTAGGAGTGTTTTATACAGAGTCCCCAGTCTTCATAGTCCTGCGAGAAAGATGCTGTTTCCATGACAGACACCAAGAAGCTGAGTCTCCAAGAGCCTAAAAAATTTAACAGGACTTAGAAATGGCGGAACCAGAATTCAAAGCACACACCAGTCCCTAAACTGTGCTGCTACCTCTGCCTTTCTGAATGTAGGCAGAGTGCTCTGCTCAGCATCCCCGGGCCCTGAGCTCAGGGCTTGCTCATGCAGAACTGGTAACCCAATCACCCCATGCCTGCTGGCAAGACTGGTGGCCCAGCAGCCCCATTGCTGCTGGAAGAGCTGGCGACCAGGCCACCTTGTTTGTGCCCTGGCTTTCCTGGGCATCAGGGCAGCATCTGTAACTCCTCCCGTTCAACTTGGCATCTCCTCGTCAGACACCATGTGCCACATGGATTAGTCATTGGCCATTTTACTGGGGAAGCTCATTTGGGGGGAAAGAATCCAGTTTCTGGCAAGGGAGACAAGTCCTCATCCAACCTTCCTGGCAGTGTTTCCTGACCATGTCTAAGAGACTTTCAGAGGTAGGTGCGTGGTCCTCACCATTCTTACCTGTGAGTACATTTGGAGACTGTGAATGATGCCCAGACTCAGCATCAGGCCCTTCACAACATTTCGCAGTGCCAGTCAGCAGACAGCCCAGAGAAACGCTTGCCTCAAAGCGCAGGTCAGAACAATGTGTGCCTGGCATCAGAGCATATGCGCAGTATGGAAATAGGGCCCACTGGCTCAGGCAGCCTCGGGATTCCCAGTAAGTGTGGGACACAGCTCGTAAATCTGGCATGTCCTCATGACACACCCTCCTACTGAAGCCTCCAGGATGATGTGACCCTGCTCTGGTGTGTGCAGGTCTGTCTGGACCTGGTCAGCAGCTGGCACCTTCTCTTGTGTCACAGCAACCCCAGAAGAGCTGAGTGAGCGCATGATGAGCAGAATGCTCCTGCTGGAGGGCTTGAGAGGAAGCCTGACATGATGGGTCCCTGCCCTGCAGGGAATATCTCCTCGAGTTCTGGTGGCTTCTATTTGGCTGCAAAATATCTTAGACTCGCTTTGCCTTTTCTGGAAATAAACACTTGTAGTGTTGAATCTGAAATCTTTTTTTTTCTTTTAATCCTCACCTGAGGATATTTTTCCATTGATTTTGAGAGGGGAAGACAAAGAGAAAAATATCCATGTGAGAGAAACACATTGGTAGGTTGTCCCTTGCACATGTCTTGACCAGGCCCTGGGCTGGGGAGGAGCCTGCAACCTCTACGTGCCCTTGACCAGGATTGAACCTGGGACCCTTCGGTCTGCAGGCCGATGCTCTATCCGTGGAGTCACACCAGCTAAGGCTGAATCTGAATTCTTGATTATTTCTCTTAACAATGCCTTGGAAAAAGACAAATGTTTTCATAGCAACGCATTATGTTTGTTTAAATCTTTACTTATACATGGTTCCCCCCCATACCTCCTCGCGGGGACCTAGTCTACAGCTGTCCCCTTCTCCCTCCTGGTTTCTCTGTTAGGAACCCCCACAGGAAGCCCCTGTCAGGTTTGTGCTGCTGGAACCCATTTTTAGATGTGATGATTTCTGTTCCTGGGGTTGGGGAGGGGGGCGGGCGGAATTGCTTTGATGTTTGTGTATTAGAGTGGAACCTTGACAAAGGTGACCAGATGTCCCGCTTTTGGTGGAACAGTCCCGATTTTTAACAATTTGTCCCGTG